GCTATGCCAGGCCCCAGGCCTGGACGCAGCACTGCAGCTGGGGGCTCTGAGGGCAGAGCAGAGGGGGACAATCCCCTCGCTGCCCACCGCCCCCCTCTGCTGCTGCAGCCCAGGATGCAGTCGGCCTTTGGGGCTGCGAGCGCACGCTGCTGCCTCACGTCCAGCTCTTCATCCACCAGAACCCCCCTGTCCCTCTGCGCAGGGCTGCTCTCTGTGAGCTCTTCTCCCAGTCTGCACACACCTGGTGCTGCCCCGACCCGAGCACAGCACCCCGCGCTGCGCCTTGCTCGGCCTCAGCAGGTTCTCGTGTGCCCCTTCTCCAGCCTGTCCAGGTCCCGCTGGGTGCTGTGTCCAACACAGCAGGGCCATGTCGAAGACCTTACATGAGTCCATGCAATCATCAGTTGTTCTTCCTTTGTCCACCAGTACTGTTACTGCATTGCAGAAGGTCACCTGATGGGTCAGGTATGATCTGCCCTTGGTGATGTCCTCTTGTTATGTAATAAAATACTATCTTGGAAAATTTTTACTGGTCATGTCAGTTCCGTGGCCAGACAGTCACTGGAGTTCTCCAAGGTAATGTATATGCTTGCCAAAAGGCTTGGGAGAGCTGGTAAATTTGGGATCATGGCTTAATGAACTGCTGTGCTAATTTGTGTGGTTCTGTCCTGTCTCTGACCCTCTCTGCCTGCAGCTCCTTTGGATGCTGTGAAACACTTTTTGCAGCAGGGTCAGTGAATGCCCCAACAGCTGATGCAGTTACACAAAGCAGATGGGTTCTGTCGAAGCACATGTGAGACAGCTGCATGCAGCTCATGTAAATGCAGATGTCTGCATGTGGTGGTCTTTGCAGGACATCTCTGAAGTACCTTACTGAGATGCTAATGGTAACTCTGATGTTGAAATGTGGGCTCAAAAGAAACCTTAATGAATGGAAGAGTTATTTTACATGCTGTTGCTTTTGCCCAAACAGTACACTGTTTTACTGCATAATTCACCTCCTGTTCCACAAATATGTGTGGTCACACGAAACCTTTCTTTACTGGCATTTTCCTTCTCACAGGAGAAGTCATCTCGCTTGTCTGCAGCGTTGCTTGGTGAGGACTGTGAGATCAGCCCAGAGCAGCTGTACGAGCTGCTACAGTATGCAGCCCTGGGGAAACGCCACAATGCAGCCCAGCCCAGGTACAGCACCTCTGTGCTCAGGAGGCAGCCCTGTGCTGTGCGAGCCTCTGAAGGCAGTTGTGCTCTGGAACTCTTACAAGGCCATACTGACAGCTTGCATTACATAGATATGGTTCATGTTAGGCTTGGTTGCAGACCAGAATTCTCACAGAAATTCTAGCATTCCATACTTTTGTTTCATGCAGTCACAGAAACAAAATTTGTGGAGCAGCAGCTTCACACACCAAGAAAAGAAATTTGCTGTTAAAATGTTAGCACTATACTGTTTTGTGCCAGGTGTATTTGAAGTGTTTTCTCTGGAGTGTTTTGGGAAAGCCGATTTAGTCACTTTGCCTTTTTTCATCTTCTCAGTAACTCTTCTGTTTCCTGCTGAAAGGCTGAGGGGGTATATAGCCTTGGTTGACTCAAGTTTGGTGACATGCAGCGTGTCTTGCAGTAAAGCTACATGCAAAAAACATTTCAGGCTTTCAGTACTGAATAGAAAATGATTTTGTGAATTTTTCATTTTGATGAAGTAATCTTAGTTTGACCAGATTGCATCACTACAGCGGGAGATACTGGTTTGTGTTTGTATTCTGGTGCATATAAATGAGGTATGGTAAGACCTGAACCTATATCTGAGCCAGGAGTGGAGTTCAGGTACAACTCATTCTTTCTCTGTCTCTTGTGTTGTGTCTCTTGTGTTGTGGCTGGCTGAGACAAGCGATACGAGCCTCTTCTCACTGAAGTCACTTGACATTTTTGCCATTGATGGACTTAAAAGCTGGTCTGGCTCCAAGTTTGTTTCTAAGAGTGCATGATGATTGTGTTGCTTTGAGTTTTATGTATTCATTTATTTATTTGTTTTATTGCAGCTGGTGCCATGTTTATCACCAAAGCCGTCTGGCTGGGGTTGTGGTTATTGTTCTGCATGAAATGAGCCAGCTCCACTTCTACAAATTCTATTTACAGTTCAAACACCTCCGAAAAGTGTTCCAGCATGTAAGTCCCTGCACTGCTGTCTACTAAAATTCTTCCAGTGCTGAAGCTGTGCCCTGGTTACTGCTTGCCGCTGCTTGCTTGAGACTGTGGCCTTTCCAGCAGGAAGCGGCCACCTTTGATTGCTCACCAAGTGAATGAGAGCATCTCTCTAGGCTCTGACAGCTCAAGCTGAGGCCAGGGCTGCAGTGTGAGAAACAGATTTTCAAGGCTTAGATCTCTGCAGCCTTACCAGGTGAAATGTCTATGCTGTGGCATTTCAGTCCTCAATGCTTCTGACTTCTTCAGGCTGCCTGGGAGATTAAAAATACCTCTGCTGATTTGAAATATGCTCTTGGGTGTGAGTGAGGAGAATCTTAATAGAGTTATGCTGTTCCCTTCCCACTGATTGAAAAATCTGTGTGTGCTCTATGTCAAGTTTCTCCCATTTATTTCAAGATTATTAAGAGTCATTTCAATTTTCTGAGCTGCAAGCAAAATCAAGAAAGGAGGGAGGGGAGGAAGGAGAAAAGGGAAAGAGGGAGGGAAAGAAGGAAGGGGAGGGGAGGGAAAGGGAAAGGGAAAGGGAAAGGGAAAGGGAAAGGGAAAGGGAAGAGTGCTTTGATCTAGCATAGTTCCCCAAACTGCAGCAAATGCAAAATCATGGAAAGTCTGGAACTGCTTTAGGTCCTTATCAGTGTAGGACTGGGATTTGTGTTCTTAATCACATCAGTGAAGGCAAAGCTTTCTCCTTGTAACATACAATTCTATACTGTGTGTCATGAGAACAGATTTCTTTAAATTTTCCTCAGAAAATGCCAAATATACTTCCTTTCTGTCCTTCCTTCTCTAACTTGGAGTGGACTGGCGATAAAAAGGCATCTTATATGCTTGACATTTCTGCTGTGTTTCCAAGTCTCTAACACATCTCTGTTTTCAGAGATTCACGTTACCACCCCCTTCAGCTAACTTCCTAACCAGTCTGTGTGGCGAAGGAGCGAACCCGAATCCTCAAGGCACTGCACAAGGTACCTCACTTGGCTTTGAGTTCTCTCTTTCAGTTGCAGCAATTCATTTTCAGGAGTAATTTAATATCTTTGCACCCTGTGCAATCCTAGCATGCTGCTATAGTAAAAAGAAAAAGTGTAATGGCTTATGCCAAGAGTCTACTTACACTGACTACTTCAGGAACTCTCTGGGGTTTATTGTAACAAGTAAATGCAAAAAGCAGATTTTCTTTTGACAAGTTTAATAGAAAATTCTGATGCTTCATTACCCCTTTTGTGATTATTTTATTGTAAGATATGTCCATTATTTTTTAGTTATACTGAGCTGCAAATGAAGGTAAAGAACAGGTGTGTTGACAACTGATACCCTATTTTTACACTCTTTATAGAGGTAACTGTAATCCAACAGGCATGTAAAAAATCTGCAAAACTACCATGAGAAAGAACTTCACTGAAATTGTTAGAAATGTAACACAAAGATCTTGAATTCAAGTCCTAAGTGGGAGATTGAGCAGCTGTTACTTTCACTGTAATGAGAGTCCTGTAGCACCCTGTCTGTAAGCCTGACGCGCTGTCACAGAGCTGAGACATCAGGTACAGTTTTCTAGAAGTGCAGCCTGCAGAGGATCACCTACAAAATAGTAAAGTTTATACAGTTGTGGATCGTGATGTCAGTTCAGTGCTTGCTTCTAGAGCCACACTTACAGCACATTTTCTGTGAATAATACTTTGGGGAAATAAATTTGTAGAGAAAGTAGAAAGAAGAGAGAGCTGCTTTTTGTGGCTTACATGAGATAACAAATGACTGTACTGTCGTGCTTCACAGGAAGGTATCCCCTCTGTTCAGCTGAGAGGAATGTGGGATAGATTTGGAGTACAGTCGGCTCACAAGCTGCTAGCAGTGTCAGTAGCTGTGCTGAGAGTAGATTTAAGTGTCCTGATAAACTTGTATGCCAGTGTATATTAAGTATCCTGATATATGTACAGTTTGTTCCATGCATTTTCTTTTGAAATGGTGTAGCCTTTGAATGTGCCTGTTTGTGCAGACTGCAAGTAAGGAGTGCTGTCTGATCCTGACAGACCATTCTGTACATTCCAGGCTTGATTTCCACTGGTGTTGAATGTGTCCCTGAAAGCTCAGGCTTGCAATGTGATCCCATCATCCGGAAATATGGCAGAGAAAAACGAGGCCTCACGAGCTATACTCTAACTTTGGAAGAGCTGAAAAAGAACGATTATCCCATGAGAGGTTGGTTTTCTGAGGTTTTCGTTGGTATGATTTTTTTTTAATTTTGAAAATGAATGAGATTTTTGGTGATGTATGTTGTATGATAACTATTAGAAGAAAGAGGTCTGTGTCTTAAATGTGTCTTTTCATTTTAGATTCACCAGGATGTAAGGGTTATATGTACACAGAGTGCGATCTTCAGAGGACAGACAGCAGCCCCCTCTTCGGTCTGGATTGTGAAATGGTAACAGTAAATGTGTGATCCTGCAAAGCATAGTCAAGCAGCCAAGCTCTTATTGGCTGTTCCAAATCAAACCAAGCACCCTGTGCATTTATTAAACCACTTCTGACGTATCTGCTTACAGTCCATTCTTTGATGGTACCAGTGCTAATGCAGCCATGGGAAGGACTCAGTGGTTCTGGAGACATCAGCAAAGTTATCTTTGTCCTGAGCAGTGCAGCAGAGAGCTCAGTTCTGTGCTGGCTCCTACAGTAGCATCTGGATCTGCTATTGACAGTGCTGTAGTCACTCCTGAGGTTTTTGTTTACAGTTCCCTGCCTTTGCCCTCCCCAGGGTTTGGGAGTGCAAAGATGTCTCTGTCCCACATCTTTTCTGTAGCCATCACAGTTCTGTGGCAGCATCTTTGAGTGACTAATGATGTGGTCTGGGGTCTGCTTTTAAATTGCATTTTCTTCTTAGGTGAAGACACTGTCAATGGCAGCTCTGCACTGCAGAGTGCAAACTGATTCTGTGAATTCAGCATTTCCCTGTAGAGGTTTTCTTTGTGTTAAGCTTGGCTGTATGTTTGATGTGTTGAGGGCAGGCGTTTACCACTTGAAATGAAGCATGGTATGGTATGAAAGCTGCAAGTGGTGGATCTCCGAGTAAAGTGATTTGTAGTGACACTGCCTGTAGTCAAAGCTAAGGAATCCGAATGGCAGCATCAGCCGATCCAGTGCCTGCCTCTGCTTTGTTCTAACAGTGCCTGACTGCAAGAGGGAATGAAGTCACTCGTGTCTCTTTGGTGGATGCAGAGGGGCAGTGCCTTATGAATGAGCTAGTCAAACCAGAAAGTGTGATAGTGAACTACTGCACCAGGTGACTTCCATTAAAGTTTCTTATCGTCATCTTTTAAGACCTGCAGCCCTTTCAGATCAAGCCTTCTATACAGTCTGTCAGAACACTTTGGTGTGCATGCTCTCACAGTGGTGTCTTGCATTTCACTCACTGTTAAGAATGCAGTTTGTGCTACGTGGTTAGAATAACCAGCGTTGTGTATATGCTGCTACAGAGCATCTGCTTGTCAGCTAGGCATTGTCATTCTGCAGTGCTGTAGGAAAAGTTCTTCAATAAGTAAATTATCACCGTACAGGCTATTTTTCAGGGCTGGATATAAAAAAGGACACAGGGTGAGTAAGGTACAGGATTGTAAATCAGCTTTCTCTGCTCCGTAGCTAAGTTTGCATATCGGTAGATAGAGAATAGCATAGGTCAGCTGCTCGCTCACAGCTCTAGGGCTGGGCTCATTACAACTGCAGCAGACCAAACTCAAACCATCTCTTCTCCAAGTCTTGGCTTGGATTTACGCAGGAGATAAGCTGCCTGTTTCCTCAGGTTGTGTGAAGCACCTCCTTGCATAACAGCCTTGTAGGATTTTGTTACCTGTGTTATCTGATGCTGAGAACTGCATTGCTTAATAAGTCATGCTTGAGAGGACACAAACAGATGTGGCAGCACAGCAGCTTAATATCTGTGCATCCTCTGGTGGATTCCTCTTGGAATATGCCCGCAGAGAAAGCAGTAAATAGCATTCTGTCATAAGTTATGCTGGATTCATATTTTGCATGCCCTGCTCGTGATGTTCTCCAGTAAATGCTATTGCTAATGCATTGCTTGTACCTCATCTAATTTCTGTTTTGAAGATACTCGGGAGTCACAAGGAAAATGCTTCTTCCAGTGAAAACAAGATTGCCAGACATACAAACCAGACTGAAAAAGATACTTCCCCATGATGCAGTATTGGTGGGTCATTCTCTAAATGCTGATCTTCAGGCTTTGCAAGTGAGTGTTTATCCCAACCCTGCGATACTCATTTCAGACGTAAAAGGTCCAAACAGTTCTTTTTATTAGTGTACACTTGTTAATTGCTTTTCATTATGCATAGCCTTATGTTTGTAAGGATTTGAAAGAGAGAGACTGCTCTTACATGTATAAAACTTGCTATCTGCTCTTCTGAACCCAAAAGGAAGGGAGGAATCTGATTAGACAGGGATACGTGTGCAAAGGAAGCATTACTGTCTGCTGCTTCTGGGTGCTTCTGACATCTCTGTCATGGGAAGAACCAAAGTCCTTCCTATATTTAATTAAGCCAGCGTAAAATCCCTGAATCTTTCTAATCCAACGTTGGTCTTCCCAGCAAAGTGTTAGAAAAGAGATTTGGGCCTGTTTCATTATTACCATCTGTTTTGTCGTTACCAATTATTTGTCAGTGAGAAACTGGCAACTGAAATGAAAGGGCACAGATAACAATGGAGTTATTGCTCAATTCTCTGACTGCTGTTCTTAAATTAAACTGGTGATATTTCCTTTCTTCCAGATGATCCATCCCAGTGTTATTGATACTTCATTACTTTTTGCCAGAAATGAAGGCCGAAGATTTAAGCTAAAATTTCTAGCCAAAGCTGTTTTAGGGTAAGATTATAACAGCATTGTCATGGGAACTATTTGAACAGTTGTGGGTCATAGGGTCCTGCTTTTCCAACAGTAGCAACAGAGTATTTTTTTCCACTAAAACTCAAAGGAACAAGCAAATGAACACGGTAATGAAGAATTTACTGTTTCCTTGAAACATTAAGCAGCACAACAATTTGGCCTGGTTTTGAGCAAAGATGCTTGGCACAACCAAGTTCTTGTTTGTATGTGAACCACAAAACCAGCTTTACTGCAGCTGTACAGTGTATGCTGTACAGCAGATGCACTCTGGCTCACACAAATGATATTTGTTGCAGCTATCCAGAAAGAAATGCTAATTTAGGTAAGTATGATGTACTGACTTAATCATATCCCTTCCAATGCCAACTATCATAGCATGTCTTAGCAGTGCAGTGCTCACAACTCAGCTCCAAACTTCCCAGATCTGGAGGTTACCTCCTTGCCTGTGTGCAAATTGTGAGTTCAGTCATTGATCAAGGGAGAAAATGGAGAATGATCGTAGAATTATTATGCTGCACTGCTTCTTTCAAACCGTGTGAACAGTGTTTTGCTCAATATGGCAGAAAGGTTTCTTGCAGTAACTTTGGGAAATATTTAGCAAAAATGCTGCTGCACAGAATTGAAATGGTTTTTAGAGAGGAAAGCTGTTTTGCTGAAAAGGATCCCGTTTCGAAAAAAAAAGATGTTAATTAGTATGGAAAAGTAGGTAACCTGCCTGTACATTTAATTTTGATGCCCTAGGAAGGAGATCCAGTGCCAACAGAGGCTTGGTCACGATCCTGCAGAAGATGCTAGAGCTGCATTGGAATTGGCTCAGTTCTTTATTAAGAAAGGACCAGCAAAGGTATCTGTGTCTCATCTCCTGAATGGCAGAGCATGCAAATTGTCGTGCTTACAATGAATAAACACTCTTGCCCGTTCTTTTACTGAGGAAATGAAGCTGTGGTATAAGCCTTGGTTGTGGTAGCTTACTTCCAGCCTGTATCTTGGTATCTCAGTAACTTGGAACATCACCAGTACTCAGACACTGCCGTGAATCAGCACTGCTGCTGACCTCTTACAGGGGCATTGGGAAGAGAAAGATTCTGACACTCACAGCCTGTGGGACAGCCTGTCTTTTTCTCAGTGAAACAAGTGAGGGACCTTCTATGTTTTGGCACCGATTCAAGATGCCAATTATGAGTCTTAAATCTTTTTCTTGCATTGCTGGTTTTTGAGAACAATTTTTGGATGTGCTTGCTGGATGGTGCTCAAATACTGCTTGCTTGAAAATGACAACAGAAAATATTAAGGCAAAAGATGAATGCCTGTGTTTCTCCACTGCTGTGGAATGTGGCCAGGTAACTCATGGAGCAAGCACATGGTTGGTGGTTAGTTACAATTAACAGAGATGAAAGCCAACTGCTCATCTTCTTTCCACAAGGTAGCAGAACTAAACTTGGAAATGTTGCTGGCAGCTGAAAGGCAGACTGAAGTCTCACCAAACAAATCTGTGATGCAGCCACAGCAGTGTGGGGTCCAGAAGCAGCTGAATGATCCTCCACACTTATCCAAAGCACGGTAACAAGATTCTCAGAGATGCATATTTTCTTCCTTTGATTGAATCCTCAGTGAAATGAAAGACTTGTCCTGTTTTTGGAAGGCTTCCAGTATCTTCAGAGGGAGACACTGAATTGTAGAGTAGCACTAACACGTTTTCAGAAGTTACATCTTAAATTTCGGATGCATTTTCAGGACTTCTGAGGACGAAAACATTCTTTAAAATATCTTTAATGACCTGTATCATTTTTCAATAATGGGCACTTCTTGAAAGCTTTTAACTCACCACATTGACAACTACTGTAATGTGCAGGTTTTTTTTTTCTCTCTCTGCTAGTTTTCTGGCCTGCTTGCAGGGGATGGGCCAGAAGCCCCTCCTTTTGGGTAGACAGGAACTGGACTCTTCTGGCCTTTGTCGGAGTGACCTCAGCACTTCCAACAAACAGGTGAATGGACACAGAGTGCGTTGGTCTGAGCAAGCATCCAAGCTGTTAAAAGTTCTTCTTGTCCTGAGGCGGTGGGTGGGTCATGTTTTAAAAAGCTGACTGACAGTACTTTCAGCAATGGTGTTAGCTAACCAGCTTAGCTGAATAACCTAACTAGGTTAGCTGAATCCACTTGAACATTGAAAAATAAGCTTTGATCCTCTGTCACTATCTCATGACTCACTAGAGAATAATTTCTGCTGGAGGTTTTCCTTAGACAGTGATGAGAATTAGAGGTGGGAATTAAGGTCAGGAGCTCTGCTTCAGGTTTGCTGCAATACAGTTACCTCTTTGAACTTCATACTCTTTTTCCTTCCAGATTCTTCAGAGAGCCTTGGAAGATGTTCCCCTCTCCACATTCAGTATAATTCAGTTCAGTTTGGATCCAGAGTATGTTGCATCTCACCGTCTTGCTGGATTTTGTGAAAAGGTAGTCATTTTTTTTTGAGTGAGAACTGTCCTCACTGTTGAGCTTGGGAAGACCCATGATGTATCTGGTGGAGGCGGATAGTTTCCTTGCTTTGTGAAGTTGCTTCTCTAATCTGTGTTCTTACAGGTGAGAAACAAGCTGACTGACATGCTGACAATTTACGCAGGTCCTTTTGAAGAAGACTTTTGCCTGAAGTCTGTGAAAAAAGAATTTGGAAGGTGTGGGCCGATCAGATCCCTCACAGTGGTGACTGAAACGTACCAGGTGAGGAGCACTAGCAGCATTCAGTGTGCTGACAGGCAGTGAAGTCAAGAGTAATCTCTTGGAAAGCTATAGATTACAACCACTTAAATACCAGTTATTCTGGTGATTTTTGGGGAGCAGGGTGTGAGGGGGACAGTTCTCAGTACACGTGAAAGCTGCTGCAGACATTGACAAGAATGAACACAGCTGATATGGTACAACGTTGCTGTCCAAGCTGCAGGGCTTTAACTGTGTGTTGATAATGCTGAGATGATTTTTGTCTCCCTCAACAGAGCTGGTATACCAAGGCCTGTAATGGCAGAAGAAGGTTGTTTTTAATAGTTGAGCTAATTGAAGGTTGTTTTTAGTAGTTGCGGTATCTAGAGTGTTACCTGTATCACCCACTTGAAGCCTTTATGTGCCATTTAAAACAGAAAAGAACCCTGAGACCTGACTTGTAAAAGGGGAGGGCTAATATCTGCTATTCATAAACCTGAGGTATCCTGTCCTTTTGTTTCGAGCCATATGTCTGTATCCAGTACAGCGTGCTGGAAGCTGCCCAGCTTGCTGTGGAAAGCCTAAATGGAGCTGAGGTAGCAGGATCGTGCATTAAGGTAAGCAAAGTAAATAGCAAAAGCCTAAATTACATTTAGGAATATGGGCCAGCATGAGTCTTTTAAAATCTATGTAGTGCATAGAGTGTGGGTGGATCTTGGCTGGCTGTGCTGCCACCAGCTCCCAAGACAACTTACGCTTTGGTCTCGTTTCCTTTCTGTTGGACAGCAGAAAGGTATTAGGAAGCACCCTGAGTTGGCAACTCCATCTTTAAAATGGAGAGTGAGTTGCTGGGTGTTGAAATGCTGAATAAGCAGAATGGGGTTCTTATTTGTCTAGTGTTCTTGCACTGCAAACATGATCTTTTCCTTTTTCATGACTCATTAAGCTATCCTTCACTAGTTACATTTTTCAAGGAAAGGGAAATAGCTAACAGAGTTTTGATAGTGAAACAAAATCGTTTAAAACAGCAGCTTAGAAGACAGAGTTGCCTTGGCTGATGTGTTGCATTTGTTCCTATTGGACTCACTTCAGGTTCAGAGACCCATCACTGCTGCTACACTGGACTGTGATGTTCTGATAAGGGAACTGGAACTGGATATAGAAAACGAAGGTGTGATTTATGTGGCAGGAATAAAGAAGTCATTAACAGAGACAGATTTGCAAGAAGAATTCAGTCTGTTGAAAGACCTGGAAACTCTTTTCCTGCCAAAGGATCTCCAGAGTGGAAAGCACAGCACCTGCTGTTTTCTCAGTAAGTAGCTTTGCAGTGCAGTCTGCTTATTTCCTTCATGCAAGCTTGTTCAGCAGCCCTTGGAAATATGATGGAAACTCACGTGTGCTCCAAGTGCCACTATTTAAAATACTCCAATGAAAGCATGCCTGGCTGCTCTGCACTTCACACCGACTAGTGATCCCTTCTAGGAAGTCAGGAGAACAACTGGATGAGTGTTGTTGTATTTATCTGACGCTTCAGTAGTCTGACACTTGCCTGAAGCAAGATAGGATCTGCTCACTGGAGTGATTTAGTTTCTCATCTTCCTCCTGCTCCACCTTTAGCCTTGCCCTGCAGGTGCCAAAGAACAGGGAACAAGAAGTGTTAAATCACAATCCCTTTCTCTTTGTTTTTCAGAATTCCAGAAATCGCGAAGTGCGGCAGATGCCCTGGAAGCTATAAATGGCTGGGCTGTGAGGGGCAGCACGCTCAGAAGTAGGCACGCTCTTGCTTCAGGTCACCTCTGGAGATGGATTTGGCAAATGAATCACAGCAGTGAAAAGCAAAGAGGAAACAGTTTAAGTGAGAAGATGGCACCGCTGTCTGACTCTGTGAGTTTAAGGCTATGCTGGCTTGTTACTGTTCATCAGTGTGAAGGTGAATAACACTGAACCACGTACTGCCCTGGGAGCCAGGATGCCATGTGTCCATGCACAGGGCAGTGAGTGATGTTACACGGCGGCTGGAGCCTACCACCTGAGAGCTAACTAAGCAGTGCACAGGTGTAGGAAATGGTACAGAAGTCAGAGAGAGAAGTGGATTGTGTCGTGTTGCAGGCAAGAACAGGTCTGGTCTGCTTGTAGCTGTCCCTTTTACTGGAGGAAGTTGTAGTGCCATCTGAGTAGAGCATGCAGCTCTCCTTGCAGCTGAGCTGGTGCACTTCCAAATGCCAGCTGTAACAATCACTGTTTCCTTACCTGCTCAGTCCCTGACGCTGCCCCAGCTCAGTCTCCTCATAAAACATTTCTAAATGTGATCATTACATACCTGCAGAAGAATGGGTCATTGTAATACTTGTATTCTGTTGTGCAGGAGCAGGATGTAAAGAAAAAGGTGAAGAAGTTAGACCACCATATAAAAAAGCTTTATAGAAGTCTGCAGGATAACACCTTGTGCGTTGTTCTCTTTCCTGGAATGAACAGGTAACTTACTGCCTCATGCTTTTATTTTCATCTTCATTAAAAAGGAAACAAAAGCGTGATAAAAGGCCCAAGAAGCTGTTGTATTGTTTGACTTTCATATGAGGCTAATAAAACTGATCAGTAAATTCTTCTCATAAGCCATGCTCCAGATTAGCAGGGGTGAAATCCAGAGCGTTAATTAATTGCACGGGTTTTCTGGTTGGATGAAACCCCTGGTGGACATTTTGTCGCTGTTTCGAAGCTGATACAGTTTTGCAATTGTCTTGACACACAAGCAAGCTTTCTGTGTGTCAAACTGAATCGGGCTGAGGTTCTGCAGCAGCCAGGTTTTTGGTTGTTGGGTTTTTGTGTGTTTGATTATTTTCGAACCACCTAACAAAGCAGTACAGCCCAGCCACAATCTAATAGGTGTCTCGTGGTAGCTGGACTAGAATGTGTAAATCTTTCCCAAGCAAGGCCATAGTGACTGGCTGTGTCTCCACTCGGTCGCACATCTACCCCTGCTTGTCTGTAGTTCCCTTTAACAAAAGCTGCACTGACAGAGAAGCAGGGGGACAGGGCAGCACCTCTCTCGCCGTGGGCAGCCAGCCCTGCCACTCTTACCTGCAGAGCTTCCTGAGGAGTGGCAGCGTGATGCTGTGTTATCTTGTGGACCACTGCTCCTGGAAGAGTGAAGCATCCTGAGCCAAGAGTCTGTTTGTGCTCAGTGCCCATGACAAACCATTTCAGTATGCACACGTGCTGCTCTTGGCATGATTTGCTGTAATTGTCCAATTTCTAGTAGCTGCTTAGCAAGTTTGTTCCAAAACACTTAGTTTTTAAGAAAAGATCATTTAGCTGGTTGCCTATCACTTCAAAGAATAATAGCAGGCAAAGTGAGACAGCAGCAGTTTCTACCTCATTAGAGCGGTGCTGATTGCACATATGGATTCTCACACAAGCTTGTTATCAAATCCTGCCTACATGTAACAGCCATATTCAGGACTGTTGGGAAGAAGGGAGTGCCATCCCAAGCTTGGGAGAGTTTTCATGCCAAGTGAGGTTCCCAAATTACTGTTTCCCAGGGGACTGATAAACTTCTTGTTCAAAAAGAATAACAAAAGTTGTTGGATGGAAAATAATACATGCAGTTTTCCAATCTGCTTAACTGGGGGGTTGCAGGCTTCTCCCTGCTAGAGCAGCTAGCTTGTATGCATCAAGGCTGCCCTGAGCAGAAATAACATCTCTTGTTTATGTTGCAGCGTTCACGGATCACAGTCCGGCCTTGGTCTGATGGGAATAAAAGATGACGGAGGGAGCAGTGCTTGTTAAGCTGCCAAATTTTTAATCAGTCTTTTGTAAAGATCTTCGTAGTTATTTTAAACATTGATGTATTTGTAAAGAGCCCTTGCTGTAGGAACAATGGGCTTTCACACTGTATCTTCTATAAATTCTAAAAATAAAAGCTATTCAAAACATCTTAAAAGCACGAAGCCTTTTCCGTTCGTGCTTCTGGCTGTGGCATTTTTCCCTGGCACTGAATTCGGCAAATGCTTTGGAAGAGCGGAGGGCAGTGCAGGGAGGTCCTGTAAAACCCCATCACTGTGATGGAATTCAGTGAGTTGTTTCCACGTGGGGCACTGCTGAACCGCAGGGCTGCCTTCACTGCAGCACTGTGTCGTACCTGCAGCAGCTGCTCAGCAGCTCCACGCTCCCTGTTCCAGCTGTGCCAGCTCCCAAAACAGTCACGGCCTCCTTTCTGGAAAAGCACTGTACTTCATGGAAAGGAGGAATTGGTGATTCATACCTCTTGGACAATCTCTTTTCTCCCACACCCCTTAGGAAACAAAAGATTGCAACTTGGCTGCAGTGGGAAGGGCAAGGGCTGTTTGTTTGGGCCATCTCAGCAACTGCTGAGATCAAGCAGCTGCAGAAACTACTCACCGTGTTTTTGGTGGGGAGCTGTAAGTGCAGAGTTGCTGCAGCAGCCAGCCCTGACCAGCAGTAGTGTGAGATGAGATACAGCCTGGCATCAGCTCTGAGCTCTGCACACCTGGAACCAAAGGTTGCTTCACCACCTCTTATCAACAGACTGAACTACAACAATGCCCAGAAAAAGCTTTGGGCATTGGGGAAAAAAAAAAAAAAGGGAAATGTTTGTTTCCAAGTTTGAAAGTGAGACCAAGAGTTTCTTAGTATGAATTGAAATATGCTGAGATAACTTTGAAATAGTTACTGTCCCGGAAATGATGAAATGCAGTCGGCAGGAGACGTCACCTCCTCCTGCATCCCTGCCCAGATCCCCATGCCCACCTCCCAGGCTGAGCTGACGGAGCAGGAACTGCAGCAAAGAGCGATGGCAGGGAAAGGGCACTGCAGCTCAGCCCATGGCAGTGCCAGGCAGCGTGCACAATGGTGCTCACTTCAGGTTTTTTCATACCTATAGCTTAAAGCCTCCAAAATTCCTCAAATGAAGTATCTTATTAAGCGAGATGAATGCAGCCATTAATTTCTTTTGTTTTAGAAAGGTCCTGTATCCACGCCAGGTGAGCTCGGCGGCCCTCTTCAAACTGGGATAACCACTGAGCCCTCTGTCACTGCTGCTACAAAACCGGACGGCAGTCTGACCGTCCATGCAGTGCTGCTGCGGGGAACGGCGATTGCCTGCGCTGCCACGCTCATCCCTGCACACAGCCCCTCTTCTGTGAAGCTGCCCACATCCAGCACCTTGCACATACCTCGCGCACTACAAATCTGAGCAAGTAAACCAGGCCATTTTAATCCCAGTGCACTTAAGAACAGGGTAGGCACCTCCCTGCACGGGTTTAGTAAGCAGCAAGGATTCCTGCTTGGGAAGTGGATAACAAATAAAAGTAGCGAGAGTCCTAGTTACAGTCATTAAAAAATAATTAATTTTTCCCCTTTTAATTGAAAATGTAAAAAGGACTGCAGGTTTAAATAAAACATTTTGTACAAAGCTTCACAAAAAAGTGAACACCAAAGTGTCATTATATAAACACGACAAATGACTCATTTGTTCATAACGCACAGAGCAACGTGCAAGTTCCCTCTCCCAGGGACTGGGTTTCTCTGGCCATCCCCTCCCTCAGACCTTACGGACGGAGACCCGTCAGCTCTGAACATTTGCAAAGCTACAGTACTCAGGATACAGAGTGACTACAGGCAATACTTTTTTGGCGGTGATGGGGTTTCAGGGCTTTTTTTCTGTTTTTCTTAGCGGGTGTGTCGACGCTTCAATATACAGAAGTAAACAATCTCACAGGTGAATGAATGGCAACTTGGATTAGAAAAAGCACCAAAATATTTAATATACATCTGGCACAAACTTCACAAGATGTCAGTAATGGACAGACTGATGCTTTGCTTATAAGTAAAGAGAAACCTTAATGCTTTTCTTCCAAAAGGGACTGAGCATTGCACTCAGGGTTGCTATCAAGTAACAACCTTCTCATCACAACCTACGTGCACTGTGCCTCAGACTGCACATTCTGTGGGATGCTGTTTCCATTCTGTTCCAGACAATAACGGTGAGCAAGACAACACAAGAGAAGTATTTGTAAAGCAACCAAGCAGATAAGACTCAGTATAGAAACATCACCTCAAACTTTTCCCACTTTTTCTCCAGATCATGGCTTTACACTTGGCCACATCCTCGAAAAGATATCCAGCATGAAACGGAATTTACTGCAGCCTTTTCAAGCATTACAACTCCGCAGCACTCGTGATGGTGCCGGCTGGAGGAGGAAGTGTGGTTCTGCTCCACGACAATACATTCATCATTTCCTGCGGCGAGAAAACTGGAGAAAACTGGAGAAAACAGACGTCGTGTCTGCTGGTAAGTCCGAAAAGCAAGGATTACTCCTGATACAGAGAATGGTAGATTTGATCCCAAGTGCCCTTGAGGGCTTACTGAGGAGACTGGTAGCTAGCAGTGTTCACATACAGTTCAGTGGAAGCTGCACAAAGGTGTGATGCTTCCACTGTTTTCTTACAGTTATTCACTTCTCTGGGAGTATACACTACCAAAACACATTCTTTCCATACAGGGCGATGTGGCCACGCCAGGGCTGAGCTCTACGACAAGTGTCTGTGCTGCAAGCTGCAGATCTCCAGGCTGGCTGTCAGTGCTCCCTCCCCCTCCATACAGCTGCAGCAACGTGGGCTCACTTTGTGCCCCAGGTCGGCTGGGATGGAGCCCAGCAGTGCAGGGTGAGAACCTCATCCTGCAGTCCATCCATCTCTCTTGCAACTCCAGATAATGGACAACTCGCAGCATGAGGCCTTCCCACCACTCCCGGTGGCCCATTTCCTTTCTGAGGGCCCATTTCAACTTACTGATAAGAAAGAATGCATATTTTTAAGATAACTAAACTTGACAAAAGAGCCACTCCCGAGGCACAGGGACAGCTCCATCAGCAACATTCAAGCGTGCTGCCCCAGCCACAGCCAACCCAAAGCCCAAGGAGAATCTGCAAGCAAGAAGCAAGAGCACTGCAGACAAATGTGTTTTTTCTTCATGTAGAATGCATGTCATCTAGAAAGAGATTTTATCTTCAGGATGCAATTATGCAAAGATAGAAGCTTTCTAAGAACAGAAAAGGAGAACCTCCCAGCATCTCCAGCATGCTTGAGCACTCTCAGCTCTGCTTTAAGCATAAGGCGTTCATCCTGAGCAGACACCGAGCGCAGGGAGGAAGCAGCAGCTGTGCAGCCCTTTCACAGCCTTCACTTTTTGTTGCACAGCTCAAGATGGAACAAAGTACGGAACATGTAAGAAATACACTCATAGCACTGCATCAGGTGGGTTCCTGATGCTTTTCAAGAGCAAATGAAAGGGCCAGACGGTCCCTTCTTGGGGAGCAGCTGCTCCATCTCCCATTCATTGTGGCCTGAAGTGGAAAGACAAGGTGCGATGCTGAAAGGCCCTGAGCTAGTCGGGAGCAGCTCCACTCACCGCTGCGCTCTGGAACTCACATGTCCCTTACCAGCTTGGCTTTGCTCCATTCCAAAGGGTCGACTGCATGCAGACCAAAAGCAGGATACCAAAAAGTATGGTAAATAGGTAACACTTAACATGGGTCAATTAAAAAGTGTACATTACTTATCCAGGCATCATAGCCTGGGAGAGGATGATCAACTTGAACTACTCAAGTCTGACAAGAGGTAGAGATACCTACGTACTTCATGGTGAAGGAATTATGGCCTTCCTTCTTACAATCTCATGTATTTCACTTTAACTGAAGATATAAACCAAAGATACAATCTTTGATAATCCAGAGAAAAAAAATTAACACCAGTGTCTCTACACACAACAGAAATAAGCACACTTATCTTTTACTACTTGTTTGAAAAAAAACAAAAGCCTTCAAAGTTTGTAGTTTTGCTGTATATTAAACACTGAAGAGTTTTCAGTTTCAGGCTAAGCATCTTCCTTTTCAGTATGAAAGGGGAAGTTCACACGCACACGTTTCAAGCAGAGGGAGCTCAAAGAATCAGGCGCCCAACTGATTCCTGCCACAAGGGCCACGTCGCAGAACACAGGGCTGCAAGACCCAGACCTCCACAGTGCCTGTTCTCTTACAGTGAGTAGGAACGGCACAGCCTCAGCCAGCACACTGAGTCAGATCCGAGGCAGACAGTAACCACATGGTGTTTAATTCTGCTTGTTTGTTTGGGGTTATTTTTTGGAAACAAGGCTTAGAACCGTAAGGAAGATGCTCATGTCAGCAGTGGGTGCACAGAAGCAGAAGGTGAGACAGGACCTCAGGGGGCCTCAGGGCTCTGATGGCCACAGCAACAGTTGGGACAAACCCATAGCCTGCAGCAGCCCGTACCCCAGCAGGTCCCATGCCACCTGCCACACTCATCTCTTTTCCCTCGGGTTCTCTCCGTACCATTGCACAGTAATACAAGGCTGTAATTCTCCACACAGAATAGCACCAGCAGCAAATAAACACACAGCTCCACATTCAGTTTCCATTAAGTTACTCATCAAGTTTGATGGCCAACTCTGGGTGAAATCTTTCAAATCTGCACTTGAATCAATCCACTGACAGTCTTTGACCCAAAATCACACCCGCAGGAGAAGCTGGCACCACTGAGCCAAGCTGCCAAGGCACTGCAGTAACACTGCACAGTGCCCAGTGCACAAGTTGCACTTCTTTGTGTATAAGCGAAGGCAATAAAATGCCACAGATCACATTCCCAGTAAATTCCTACAATGATCTGTATAGTTATCTGTAGTTATCCCAAGCTGCAGCAGATTCACTTCATGCATTAAGATTTCTAATGCATACTCTAAGAAAAAAAACTAAACAGATCCAATGGTTTTGACCACTTGATCTGCGTCACTGCTCGATCCAGTCCCGTGGCCATTGAAGACAGATTATATGGAGAGTGGAAAGCATTGCACCTCTTCCACAAGTACTCACAGTTTAACCACTAGGCAAGCACATTTTCAGAGGCCCCAGTATTGCTGCAGACTTTGCAGAAGTGCATCTGAAGCAGCATTCTAGTGGCACAGAAAGGCAGTGCTGCTGGGGGTAGGAGCACCAAGTACCAGCACCGCTAGTACTGCCCCATAACCACAGCTCCTGCTGCAGGAGTTCACAGCAGACACAGGTCTGGCTTGCAACCTGTAACTGCCCCGTAAGCACCAAGGCCAGACTGAAACCAACAGCACTCTGCCAAGCACACCTGTGGGCAGTTTTCCTTGTGCGCTGAAAGCACAGGACAGTATTCACTGACAGCTGCATGCCTGCCTCCCAGAGAAAATACTGTTCCTTCCACTATGCTCAATGCTGCTGTCTAAAGAAAGAAGCTGTCTTGTGTCTGATGCATTGAAATGGCTAAGCCTTGATGTACTACAAATTTATTTTCTTACTGCAATCCATGTTCCGCACCACCAGATAAATGTGTTCCACAAAGCTCTCTAATCCCCCCCTTTTCGAGCTGCTGCAGTTCACTGTGCAGACAAGCAGCAGTCACTGCTCCAGCTCTGTATGTGCAGAGTTGCACCCTGCACTGGGTGAACACAGCTTTTATGCACCGAACACTTTAGAACTACCTTTAGGAACAAATGAAGTGATGAAGAGAGCACTGAGCAGCTGAATGAGTGTCCCAAACTTCATATAGCCTTCATCTGCTATGAGCTCAGGCCTCCATCTGGGGCTTTCTCTAGCAAAGCGGCCTCTGCTGGAGAGCTCTTTTCTCTTGCTTAAAGAAGAGCATCAGCAGAAGTCTCAACGATTCCACTCTAACAGCACAAATGCCTGCTTTGCTCACCAAACAAAAATACAGTTTTGCTGCCAAAATGTGCCAGTGCTGTTAGGGCAGCATGGAGGATGAGAGCAGCAGGGCACCCTTCGGGCAGATTTGCCTGTAAGGCCCTGAGCAGGGCCCCTCCTGCCCAGGGACAGGCTTAGCTACACCTCTATTTGTTCCCCACTGCTTCACTCTCCCAAGAGGAGCTTGCCAAAGCAGCATAGACCAAACCCTCCTGTTACAGGAGGAGATGCCATCAGTCATCATGGGCTTGTTTTTAAGCAGTTTTAGACAGCCAGGGATTGTAAGTGATGTATGAGCTCTGCCCCAAGCTGCCATGCAGGCTGTGCATCAGCAGAGCCCAGCACAGAAGTCAGGCAAACGCTCCACTAGCTCAGCAGCAGACATGCACTGTACAGCACCTCAGACCCAATAACAAGCTCACCCCCGAAAGTTCGGCTTTTACACACTGTCACAAAACCTGTGAGATGCTAGAGATGACCGTTCAGTTTTGAGGGTTTTTGTTGCTTTCGATTTTTCACTGAAGCCATTTTATGATCCTGAAGTAAAGCTCTGAAAATAAAAGGTGTGTGATGTACATGTATTGGCTTCATGAGTTTGACACTGGGCTTCATGGGAAGCCTTGGCAATTATCCCTTTTTACCAAAACGTGTAAAAAAGTTGGCGTAATACAATTAAAAAAGTTAACATCAATAACCAAAAAAAGCTTCAACCAGTGTTAATAAAATTCCCTTTAAGTCACAACAATTTCAACAGGCAAATAGTCCCAATACAGGCATTGTAAAATAATAAATTTACTCCTTTCCAAATATTATCAAATCAGTCTAAAAATGACTCGTCTACACTGTTGTCATTAAGAACACATTACGAATTCACTTTGTCATCAGATGCCGATATTGTTGCTCCAGAAAGTGTGGAGTATTAACTGCAATTTAGCAATTAAGCATAGCTTTAAAAAAACTGGTTCCTCACATAGAAGTACTGTGCTTGCCAGACAAGTAAGATAATGCTTCAGGTATAAATCAAACAAATTAAAGCAGAATTATACCGCAGTTTTCCTTGAAGACGGGCTTTGTGTGTTGCTTCTGTCAATATTTAAGAAACTTAAGAAGCAGAACCTTTGGTTCTTTTAGTCAAGTAAAAATATTCTCCTGTAACAACAAAAATAAACTTCCAAAGAAAATGGAAGTCCACCAAGAAGTCCACTTTCAATAAAACTGAGGTAGCACTGCTCTTTTATTACGTGTTGTGTCAGAGATTTCGATACAAATCCTCATCTACCACTCAGTTGACTGACAGGTACAGTAACTTTATAAAAACAGTCCCAACATTTAGTTTGAAACTGAAAATAAAAAGGAATGATTTGACTCGGTCACAAGGAGTTAGCTTCAAGTGGCAATGAGCCGTATTACAAAAAGCTGTTGCTTATGTTGTTGGATTTGTTGTCGTTGTTTTTTAAGGGCCTTATTAGGAGGGGATTAATGCATTTCAAGTTAACACTGCTATATTCTTGGTATAAAACCTTAAAATTATTATAGCCTAAATTTTCAACAATGTAAACAGCACTACGCACAGTACAGACCTGCCCTGACAGACATAGTATGAAAAACTTAATCTGGCACTGTATAATTTAGCAATGTTAATTTAACCTAACTAAAAAGATCTACATTGTGCAAGAAATATCAGACTTACTTATACTAATCTGAAGTCTTAACAAAAATGCTTAACTTGTAGCCGGGGTCAAATATTTCAGGGTAAGAGTAAAAGGAATAACCAAAGTTAAGAAAGTGCCTAAAACATGATACAGCATTTTAGAGCCCTTTCGAATACAAGGCAGAAAAAGGTGTAAAGTAGAAAAGAAATCTGGAGCCTTGGTAACCTCCAGAAACATCCAGAGTTTACATCTCATGAAGGGCAACAGGTTGCTTTCATCACTGCCGCTTAAATGCTGTTAAGTCTGTTCTTCTGCACACAGACCCTCTGTGCCTGAAGATGTAATACATTTGGTTTCTTCCTCCTTTTTCCTCCGCTCCATTTCCCACTCCACAAAGGTATCAAAGAGACTCGGCCAGGCCTCGTCTTCGCTGTAGTTGCTAAGGTCTGGTCCGATCACCTGAGTAAAATTTAGAAACATGTTCCATGTGTCCCGGGAGATTCCCTTGATTCCTGAGGGGTTCTCTACTAGGAAGTGCAACCACTGGTCCAAAATGGGGGGTTTGTTTTGGGTGAAGACTAATTTCCAAAGGGCAATGGCTATTTCCCGATGCAGCGACCTCTGTCCTTCCTCAGAGTCCAGGCCGAACTGAAAGGTGAAGCGGTAGAGATCCTTGAATTTATCTTCCTGCTTGGCTTCGTGTAAGAGGCTGGGAAACCGTGCACAAATGCCATCGATGCTGTCTGCGTTTATTGCTTTACAGCCTTCAAAAAACTCCTTCCTATTAAGCGAGAGAAGAAAAATTAGTGTGAACACTTCTCATGCACCGAGCACTTCCCTCAGTAGGTCAGAGTGAGCGATTTCAGCAGCATGTGGATGCCCCCAGCCCCGAGCTCTGGGTAAGACGTTGCCCCAGGTCCCTCCTGGCTGGGGAACCCCCCCACAGCACACACGCCAGCCCAGCTGGGGCACTGCAAGCACCCGAAAAGCTCTGCAGTACGGCCTTCCCAATACACGGTACTCCCACAGCCCAAGCCTTTCACCAACACAGAGCAAACCACATCAGCCACAGGAGAAGTGCTGAACACACTGGAAAATACCACAGCTGCTCCACAACACCACATACAGAGCAGCTCCATGTGATACTGCCTGTGCCTGAGGGCCCATGCTCTGGACAAGCTGCTCTCGAGGAGGAGCCATTGAGCGCTGGACTTCCTTCAACGTGTCGCTGCTCTTCCAGACTGAAAGGCAGAGCGGTGCCAGCTGTGATGGTCAGCAAGGGCACGAGCAGAGTGCCCCACACCACATGGCGCAGGCTACAATGCAACACACAGACACTGCTCAAAGCAGGGCTCCAGGCAGCACACCAACGACCTGCCACGAGGACAGGTAGCTAACTGTGATTTGTTTCATGATCAGGAGCAAGTGTTGCAGTGTAGCAACCAGCTGGTATCAACCACACCACAGACTGTGATGTGGAATTGGGTGGAGGGAAGACAGAAGAGCGCAGAGCGCAGGAGATCAGAAGACTGCCTTCCCTTCTTCGGCCAAAGCCACCCCTGTGCCCCTATCATGGAACACACTGCTGAGCAGAGGTAATCTTTCACCACTGGATCTGCATCTCTCCCAGAAAATCAAATCATTATTAAAATGATTGTGCAGAATCAGAATTCAGTCCAGTGAAACTGGTTGTGCAGAATCAGACACCGACAACTCCTTTCCCATACTGCACAGCCCTACTCTCCTTCAGCCCCTGGAAAATCCACGTTTGCATGCAGCACACTCCCACACCCCCACGGCTGCTGCAGAGGCAGGGGAAGCTGTCAGTGTTCAGTGCACAGCAGAGGCTTGGCTGAAGGCTCAGAACACCAAAGTAATTTTAAATGTTATAAGCTGAGTAAAAATAGTTACAATTACTCAAATCGATCTCAACTGACCAAAAACTCCAATAAAAGCTCTTTGCTTGCTCTTACCTGGACACTGGTAGGGAACTCAGTGTGTGGGGAGGGTGTTTTGGTTTGGGGATTTTTGGTGGTGGACTGGGTAGGTTTCTGGTGAGTTTCAGCCATTCTGTCATTTCCTGCAGCACTGGAAATGCTATGGGCTCACTAACTGACAGCCTTGTCAGGACAGGCAGAGCCTGCAACACCAGTCACTGCGGAAACATGTCTCTAAGCTTTAACAGGACTAGTCTTGGAGAAAGACATTATGTGTAACATCAGTCGGGCACAAACAGTTCTTAGCAACGAGCTTGCTTTACACTTTTTGACAGAAAGTAACAACAGAGTTGACAGCAACTACTAAGGACTCTCACATTATTTTAAAGCAAAAGTTATTTGCTTTGTCAAATCTTAACTTTAAGACAGTGCTGATACAGAAAAACTGGTTTTGTTAGTCAAGAACAAACCAATGTCTATAGAACATCTCCATGTTGTTCATCATTAGTAGTGTGATGTCCAGAAACATTTTCAGTTCTGAAGCCTAATGTGAGGGAGCAGGAGAGGACAATGCAAAGCTTACCTTCTGCAGCCACAGGAATGAACTGCACCGAAGCACAACTGTTAGAAGAAATATCTACATGAAGTTAATGAGGCTGTCTCTCTGATACAGATGATAGGACACAGTTTAACATATGAAAATAATTAAAATTCTGCAGGAACTAACCTTGTAAATTTGCACATAGTAGCAGCCTGGAATTTCCAAGCCAGAACTAGCACTTTAAATTCAGTGGGATCAACACAGAGGTCATTGCAAAATCGTTCCATTCCTTCCTCCAGTATGGCATCTTCCCGTTCATCCTTGTATCTCCTAAATAACTCTCCAATCCTTTGGAGGGACGATTCTTCCGCGCTGGAGACAGAGTCTTTCTTTGTATCCCCAGAAAATACCGAAGGACCGGACTCCAGAGCAGCATCTGCTTTCTTTGTCCCGTTCACAAGTACGTCTCCCGAGGACTTCCCACACGCCAAAGCCTGCTCATCTTTGTGGACAGCACTTCTCTTGCTATGCGACTTGCTGCCCGTTTCCCTTTCCCCATTTTTGCTGCCGAGGGTAGACGAAGGATTCTTGCACTTGGTGACGCACTGGCCCATGGTGCAGGGAGCCTGGCTTCATTCAGAGCAGCTCCTCGCCGTGCCACAGCCCCGCGGCCGCCCCTCAGCACATCGCACCATGCCGCTGGCGGCCGTCCGCCAACCTGGAAAACAGTTTCAGAGTGAAAGAGCTGCTTCTCCACAAAAAGCATTGCAAGCATTACACGTGGGATAACATTCACCGGAAGGAGACAGGCTTCAGGATACTTCCGTTTCGCCTGCTGAAAAGGAATAGTGTGCAGAAAGTCAGTGTATGCTGGAAACTTTGGGCGATTCCAGGCTGCTTCACCTCGCTCAGCTGCTGCTGTATATTAACAGGTCCTAATAAAGGAAATTCCTAAAATTCTTATGGCAACATAGGTTACAAAGAGGTTGATTCATGTGCGGATTTCATCGTGACAGACTACTCTAACCCAGAAATATTTTAAAGGAAATGTTTTTTTGTTTTGTTTTGTTTTGTTTTTTTTTTAAAGTCTGCCCATGTTTTAATTACAGAGCACAAAACAGTGAAACAAAACATTGGGTGGAGGTAAGGGAGGGCCAGCAACAAGGAAACCTGACCCAGACCAGGCACACAGAAGTAGCAGTAATCCCAGTTCAGTTGGTAAAATAAAAATTAAAACGCCAAAACAATTTCCTTGTATTTCATTTTCATAACCCCAATGCTAATGTGTTCCATACTTGGAAGGGACTTCTCACCCCCAGAGAAGGGATCTTAAATGATGCCATAAAAAGTAACCAGACAGCCTGGCACTGCCCTGCCAGCACCAACATGTCTGTTTCTTAGAGCATCACCAGAAAGCAGTTGCTCATCATAATCCTCTTCCATATTGGAGCCTCAGACACAAATGGGGTTTGCTTCATAGCTCTGGTTACTGCTTCCAGCTTACAGAACAAGTATGAGAAGAGATGAGAAGTACACATGAAGAAAGCAAACAGATGTCATGCCATCCTCCCGTGCTCTTTCTCTGGAGAAAGGGAACCTCCTGCTATAAGCTGGGAGCCACGTCAGAGCAGCAGCACACGCTGCAGTTGTGAACATACATCCTTCCCACCACTGTGCCTGCATGGGGCAAACAGTGCAGCTGCAGCTCTGTGGGCAGGCAGCACTTGGGATTCCATCCACACTGACAAAACGAGCTTTAAGAATTCTTCAATTCATCACTCAGAATTGGTGTAATTTTTTATTATTATTATAGCAGGAGGAACAAACTCCTAAAATTGCTTTGAAGATGAACTCCACGACATGATTTCTATATGCAAGGGAAATGCAATCTACCATACTCAAGAATAATTTCTTCTTCAGTTGTACCTCAAATGATTCACTAAGATACGCATCTCCACATAAATCATTTGTAGGAATTTCATGGGTCCTCAGCAGCTCACAGCTATGAATTGCAGAGCTGCCACAAACCCAGGGAACGCTGCCTTCTCCAGTCTGCACCACTCCTTTTCTCAGGATATTACCAGACAGTGTAATTTGCTGCTCCACAGCAGAACTCCACATGAACTCCCAGATATCAGCCTTTCTTCTGTTCTTTAAATTCATCAGAATTCAAATGCCAAGTCCAATTCTTACTCTTCCAGTGATTTCTTACAAACAATTTAGCACTCACGCCCTTCATTTTCCTCCTACAAATAATAATAAACTGCACTGCATCCACTGGCATTTACTCAGTGCAACTGGTTTTCTAAGAGACAAGTCATGCTCTCAGCTGCTCCTTTATAGAATGCTTGAGCTGTGCTCAATCTGCCTCATGTACTACTTGCCTCCACTTCCCACATCACTCAGCATCAAACCATGATGGCAGCCAGAGCCTCAGAAGGAAACAAGCAAGAATTCAGAGCTTTCCTTAATGGAGGATGGAGGAAGGGGTTGGTTGCAGCGTAAGGAGCTGCGCTGACCTCCATGCTCAGTGAGTATAAAGAAAGCGTTTCCAGATCAGTGGCCGGAGCTACTTATTCAACTGGAGAGCAAAGCAAATGTCACACCTAGGTCATGTCAGTGACAGAGAAGGGAGAAAAGGAGGTATGGGTATATTTCTCCTAGTTGGAATGGAAACTTCAAATAAGAAGTGTCCTGCATAACTGACCCAAAGGTTACTCTGGGCTGGCAGCAAAGCACCAATTCCCAAAAGAATCAGTACTTAATAGCAAAATTACTGTAAGATGGTTATACAACTTAACAGTGAGACAGAAGAGACGACGCTGATCACCAGTTTTGCTATTCTAGTAAAAGACCAAAACTCAGGACTAACAATTGGACGCACTCAGTGCTACAGGATATGGTACTCCCAGAGCAGTCTGATTACTCAGACAAGCACTGAGTAACAACCTACAGTAAATATGAATCAGCATGATGCCCATCTTCCACACAACAGAAACTGCCTAGCAAGGCATCTCTATTTCCTTCTAGAGGAGAGAAAGCAGCTGGAAACACAGGAAGACTGCAGCCAGTTAAAGGAAAGCCACCCTCTAAGAACAAAGGATGTGTAGACCATATTACCCAGAACGTAACACAGGAAGACTACATAAGATTGGAAGGACCCTGTTAATGGTTTGTTTTGTTTTTCTTTTTTCAAGTCCTATAAAGCAGTGCGTTTTTATCTCATGTTTTCAAGTGACCAGATCCCACATAAACCAAGAGTTGAAGGGAGTAAACAACAGAGTGATTGGGCAATAACTGGCACACAGAACACCACGCTCAATTGAAAGCACCTGAATTGTAGTGGGGAAGTTAATAGAACATGCAAAGGAGATATCTAAGACACCCACTATTTTCCTCCAATGACTAACATTGCAGCAATAGAAATTATTGGTTACGTCCAGAGAATAACAAAATACAGCCACGCATTACTCTGTTTAATAAAGTGTTGCATCACGAGGTATTTACAGTGAATTTTAAAAAGCAGGAAATACCATGACATAGGAAAAGAATAAAAGTTTAAGAAGTCCTCATAAACAAGTTTAAGACACCATATATTAAAAGGTACACAGCTCCCCCAGCCAGTAAACCAGAAGCAGTTCTTCAGCCAAGGCAAAAACAATGGCTCCAGCTTCACCAAGCCTCACCCCAGCCTCAGCTTCCTGCAAACAGTTAGACAGAGGCCACCAGCACAGTACGGAATTTCACAGTGCATTATTTATCTTTTGTGGGCAGGAGGTATGACTTCTAACATAGTAGGTCATAGGGAACAGCATCACGGGTGCCCCCTCAATTTCCAACTCTGAACAGGCACACAATGCTCTCCACAGGGGAGGCACCAGAGGATCACTGCAACTGCTGAACCAGAAGCAATTGCAGTTCCAACAGCTGACACTGCAGCCATGACCTTGTAAGCAGACTTCTACTTACATGACTCCTATGATGTAGGCAGTCATTCCATTGGCTTTCACAGCCACCTGCAGGCCCTCTGGGATCCACATGGAACACTGTAAAACAAAAGGGCTGAAACAAAACTTTACATTTCAAAGAGACAATGAAAACCATAAAATGCACTAAACTGTGCAGTAGCACTTAAACTTCTGTAGTCCAAACTCATTTTATAAAAGAAACTTTATAAAACTGGTTCACTTTTTCACTTACTGAGTAGCATTAACTAACTATGCATTATTATAGAAAGCACAGACCAAGTACTGAATACAATGGACAAGTTCAAATATTTGTTAAAAGTAAACACAGACTTCTGGCTAATTTAATGCTTTCAGCAGGGGAGAGTTCATTCCTCATCTCAGGCCCTCAGGGCAAAACTAACATGGGGTTGTCATGGCTGTCAAGCAAGGTCCCCAGAGACTGGAAAAAGGGAACCATCACTCATTAGCAAGAGAGGGAGGAAAGAGGAGCTGGGGAACTACAGGCTGGTGAGCATCACCTCTGTGCCTGGGAAGACTGTGGAGCAGATCCTCCTGGAAGAGATGCCAAGGCACGTAAGGGATGAGCGGGGATCTGAGACAGCCAGCATGGCTTCACCAAGAGAGGATGGCGCCTGACCCGTCCGGTGGCCTTCTGCGACGGAGCCTGGCATCAGTGGCCAAAGGAAGGGCACCTGGTGTCACCTGCCCGGATCCACGCGAGGCCTTCGGCACGGTCCTGCGCCACGTCCTCGTCTGTGTGTCGAACAGAGCTGGATCTGAAGGTGCTGCTCAGTGATAAGGAACTGGTCGGCGCTCACAGCCAGAGCACTGCGCTCAGTGGCTCTGCGTGCGGGTGGAGGCCGACAAGCAGCGTCCCCCACGGGTCCCTCTTGGGAGCGGCGCTCTTCAACCACTGGGACCAATGGAGGATGGTGTCGAGCACACCCTCAGCAGTTTGCGATGGCACAGCAGAAGGGAGGGCGGCACCCGGCAGGACCTGGACAGGCTGGAGAAGGGGCACACGAGAACCTGCTGAGGCTGAGCAAGGCGCAGCGCGGGGTGCTGTGCTCGGGTCGGGGCAGCGCCAGGTGTGTGCAGACTGGGAGAAGAGCTCACAGAGAGCAGCCCTGCGCAGAGGGACGGGGGTTGGAATCGGCTGATCTCTGCAGCCCCTTCTAGCTTAAGTCATTCCGTGCTACCACTATCAATGCATGTTAGCTAAGCCACTGTTTAATCTGTGAATACCAGACAGTTGCTCCCTAGTACAGCATAATCTGGGTCTAGAAATTAATTCTCTTTTTTTTTCCTTCTCTAGCACATTCTTTTCCATGTTTGTTTTTTCATGTTTGTTTTTCCATGTTCAGTCAAGTTGAGTCAGCCTCATTTCTTTTCAATTCCCAACTTTACCAGGATAACTGAGAAGCTCTTTCGAGATAAGGACAGACAAAGGCACGTCTGCTTTGTATAGCAAGTGCTGCACCTGCAGCTCCTTGTCATCACTTCTGTTCAGAGCTGATGTAGAGAAAAAATAAACAAGAAAGCTGTGGCAGCTCCTCTGCTTAACCGTGCAAACACTGAAATATCTCATTGTCACCGTTAGTGCAATTAAGGAGCAGGCAGGAGATCAAAAGCTGCTTTTCTGCATGGTTACTTTTTACATGAGACCTGGTTGTGAGGAATCTAGTTGGAAAATTAGCTTGTCCCATTGTTTTCTCAGTAGAAAGTAGAGGATGGATGTAGAAAGATAGCCATAAAACACATTCTTACATGTGCCATTCTCCAGATAAAGCGAGTTTTCCTCAAACAGAAGTCCCTTACACAGATGGTGCAGAGCAAACAAGAATACGACATACATTAGATCAAGGCTATTCTAAAAAATGTAAGTCCATGGAAGCAGGCATCCAAAACACTTTGAGAAGGCCAGGAACTGTCAGGCACTACTTTTGACTGTCATACATACCCACAGAGCAAAAATGCAACCTCACTGAAACATTTTTAGACAATTTTTGAAGCTGATATTCCAAAAAGCCTGCTCCCTACAGACACGCGTCCTCTGCCTCCAAAGCTCACCTTACATACCATAGATCCAGTCCTCCCAGAGGGTTGTTCAGACTGTGTTCTCAACATGTCATGCTGTACAGACCCCCATTCCTGTGCCACCACTCCTGCTGTGTGCAGTGCAGGCACCAGTCTGGGTTTCTATCGGACCACAGCTTCCCAAAATTCCACAAAATTCAACAGCTGCCACCTCTCTGTTCATTTATTTTGCCTGCCTCTCAGCTAAGTAATTGTTCTTATATTCACTTGGGGAACAAAGGGGAGGCAGAACAGGGAGCCCTGCAGCCTTGCTCCCCCAGGAACCCATGGAAATAGTGGAGAGGCAATATCTTGCAGTCTCCATTAAAAAAAAAAAAAAAAAAGCATTAGCATGGCAACTTCACACAACAAACAAACTGCTCCCCAAACAGATAAGGACTCTTTCAGAAGCCTATGATCCACCAAACCTCAGTTTCTAGCGGACTATATCACACACTGGCAGCCAGCATGCATTCCAAGTTGAAAGCAAGAGCCCAGCTCTCCAGGGCAAGGGTTTTAACTCAGACTTTGGGGCACAACGAAGAGGCACAGCTGGACACCACAACGCAAAGCACCTCCCTGGTGACACCAGGAGCTTCAGACTGCAGCTGCTCTGAGCAGACCCCAGTGTTCCTTAGTGAACCCAGATGGCAGTCCCTGGGGAAAATAAGGGAGCAAAAGAAGCACACCTCAGGATTGCTGGGACCCTGATCTACTCCCTTGTGTTTTTTGCATCCGTGTCTGCCTGCCCACTGTGGCTTGGGCTCTCTGGAACACCGCAGAAATGCTGTGGGTTCTCGCCAGCTCAGAGCACAGCTCGCACAGTCCTAAACAAGTGCACACTAGCGGGGGCTGCAGCACAGCTCCACGTCTCTACTGAAGATATGCATTCATGCAGAATTACTTCTTCATTACTTAGATGCAGTGTAAAAGCAAGAAAGCTCTGCTGTAATTGGCTAACAGTGAACTGCAAGTTTGTCAGGCTTCCTGCTTCAACATTTTTCAGTGAACTAGAGTCAGCTCATGACCAATGAAAAGAAGAATGGGAACTCTGCTGACCTGTTTCACATCAGGATAACAAAACATTCTGGTTAGCCTTACTTTTTGGAATCAAACTGCAATATTCAAGGAATCCAAACAACTAGGACACAGTTTGCCTCAACAAAATACATCTGCCTCGGAGTGGAAGCAAGGCATGCAGGTGGGCAGTGCAGGACCAGATAGGTTGACTGACACCTGGCAGCAGGTCAAGGGCCAGCTCTGAGTGCCCACACAGCACCACCCAAACGCTATGGCTGAAAGTGGCTTCCCATGAGCTCCAGCACTGGGACTGTGCCCAACCCCACCTGGGGCAAAGCCTATCCCTGAGCACCGTGACTTCTGCTCCCAGAAGGCACATTGTTTAAACAGCTTTTCCAGCACATCACGCCTGAATCCCTCCCTCTATTTTGCATTCTCTAACCACGCAATACCCTACATACTCAGCCCCATCAAGAAGCTTTAAATCTTTTCCCAATATGTGCTTCATCCTAATTTATTAGGTGGATAGAAAGATTTGCTAGGATGATTGTATTTTCACAGGATAAACCCAAGTCTGGTTAGCTAACTAATGCACAATGGTAGAAAGGTATCTTCTGGTGGTTCTGTAATATAAATAAGTTAATGAACCAATTGACAGAGCAGAAGTACTTGCTTTGAGAAATTTGTTTAGGCTACAAGCAAAACAGAGGGGAAATATGACAGTCAGAGGATGCAGCCATTCTAGATGACACCATCAATTTCAGTAAAGCTGAACCCAGAACCAGGCTGGATTCCAAGCCATTTCTCATCCAGTACACACTTCAACACTCAAACCCTGGGTGTGTTTGAATCCACCAGTTTCATGAAATAAAGACTCAGTCACCACGCAGCTCATCTCCATCTCGTTACAGCTGTCAGCCTTTCCCCTCTCCCCTTCACATGCAAGATGTATAATCAATTCCTTCATCACTTTTCCAGGGTTCACTGTAACTTCTGCACAACATAACAGATCTCCAGCACTTCAGTATGTGCTATTCACAACAAAAGCAGTATATGCCAGGGGCAGAGCTACCCTATATGCTGAGACACAACCGTTTCACACCACTTCAGCAAACGTGCTGATCAGAATACCTGCAGAAACCACGATTCTCAGATGCCTGACACAGACACACCAGGCTCTGAGCATTTGAGTGCTGCGCTGCAAATACGTACCTTAATTTGTCTCAGGCAACTCCATAAAGTACAGAAATCCGCAACTATCCTACAGACAAACCAGAGTGACTCAAAAAAACAGCCTCGGTCTACAGACCGAGCCGGGTGTGTGTGGATTTTGCAGTGCTCTGAGTTTGACTAGCAGATTTCACCCAGAAGAAATGGAGGTACTTCCATTGCTTCTGTACAGCAGAACAGGATTAAAGTGGATTGTCAGTGATTTCTGTACCAATTAGTTATGCTTAAAACTGAGGTAACAAGTTCATAACTCCATATTTCTCCCTGTTCCCAGCAATTCAGAAAGCTACACTAATCCCGCAAAACCAGAAAGCCATCGTAGCAGCTCTGGTTAGTGGTGTACCACCTCCAGCACAGCTCGGATCAGCGAATAGCACCACGCAGGTGCCCAGCAGCACCCAGCAGCATGGGGCGGGAGCCAGACTGCCTCCTGACATCATCTGTGGCATCAGATGCTCACAAGAAGCTCTGCCACCCATCTCAGTGAAGTCTGCCAGCCGACCAAATCACTCGCTTCATGCAGTTGTGCAGGAACTGCAGGAGCACCCAGCCATGTAAATATTGGAATAAACACCAAGTTATGTACAAGGCATTGTACAAAGTGGAAAGGCTTAAAAGCAAACAGAAACCTTATAGCATTTTAAGAGCGTGCACTTGGATTTTTAAAACTCTGACTGCCATTTTTGAAGCAGAAGATACACAGTCACCTGCAGAGACCTCAGCTCTTTCTAACGAGTTGCCCATCACAGTGCACAGCACCAGTACTTTACACAGTGTGCAGATGCTAACTGCAGCAAGAACATCTAAGCAGACCCTCTGAGCCCTCTGACTTACATTACCAGTTATAACACAGAGCATCAGCTCCCCCTTGCCAGCCTGGTGGCAGCTTCAGCCACCATGCTTTGTAGATGAATTTTCACCTATCCTTGATTTCACTCACTTGCTGTTTGTTTCAGAAACCTGGTAAGTTGTGTGGGTATCTGTCCCTGTGTCTCACAACAAGTACACTCCCTAACTCCCTAACAGGCAGTATGCGTTGTGTATCAGACCCGTAGCATTTCTGGACCACCCATTTGAGTGCTAATACAGAGTATTTGAGGATCTCCACATAGACCCACTTGTAATGAAAACATTGAATAGCCAGCACATGGCCAAGTTCTGGGACATCTAGATTTACAGGCCTAAGCTTCACTAAGCTACACATGCCCCGCATATCCATTTGGTGCTAGGATGATTTGTCTCCCTCTTAATTTTCCAAACAAAAGGCTAACACTGACAGCAGTAAGTGTTTCAAAACTGCAAAAAGGAGAACTCATATTACACTAGGAAAAAAATTAGAGTAAGAGCTGACAATTTGCCACAGTCTGCTACTACTTGGATGCAGAAATAAGAGCGGTATTTTTCAAGAGCACAAAAATCCTTTGAATTGTTTTGTTTTTTTAAAGAACACGGTTACTAAAAAGGAGAAGTGAGACAACAAATCATCACACTGTCTTCAGCAGCCTGGCTTTCTGGCAATAAAGATCTGCAGCAGAAGGTCAGTATTAGCAGTCTCACATTTTTCTAAGTTTTGTTTTTCACAAAGCAGATGTCCCAGACAGAACCGCATTTCTAACTTTCCTTCCGAGACACCAGAAGATCATCACAGCTTACTCTCTTCAGCACTCCTGTATTTGTTTGCCTACACTATTACAACCTCTACAAAAGAGCTCTTTAATACAAACAACTAAGCAGCCCCTGACCCACCAACCTCCTGCTTCCACTTCAATAACACATCAGTTGGCAGGAGCACTGTCCTCCAGGACAGATAAAATGCAGACCTACCGACTCCAAAAGGGTTAGTTCTCAAGCTAACTGCTAGGCAAGCAGCCTTGATTGACCTTTTTCCCCCAGTATTTCTTCTGGTCTGGTTACAACAGAGAGCAGAACATAGAACCATCACAGCCAAGCTCCTGGTGACAGGGACAATCTCTGGATGTCATGAGAAAAGGTGAAGATGAGGTGGAAGCAAACAACACGAGCACATCTCCAAGTCTGGGGTCTTCCTCTCACTCTCTGAAAGGCTGCAGCCCAGGTCAGCAATTACCCGACTCAAACTGCAGTTAACAAGTGATGCAGGAGAGGCTGGGTGTCTCAAACAACACGTCTGAGACATCCCACGGTATCATAACAATAACAATAGTGGCACGGGCAGTCCAGCAGTGTTATACAGGGTTTATTGCAGGAGGCATATCACCAGAAGGCAAGTTGCCACAAAATTACCATCGTTTCCAGTCTAGTTACTATGTCATTACTACTGACTAAGTTAGAGTCAGGGATACAATTATTCTGTGTCACCCAGGCAGATAGCCTGCAAAACACTAGAGCCAATTAACCTAGTATTTTCAGAAGGAGGGAGGGGAAAGAGAAAAGGAATTATGAGATGTCCAGTAACCAGAAGACAAAGCCTACCAAACAGGGGCTGGTAAGGAAAGGAAGACAGTGAGCTAACCGGTCAAGACAAGAGACAGACCCTCAGGGAGAAAGAGCTGGAGCGGAGGAGCCCAGCCAGGGAATCCCCACGGAGGGGATAAGGGTCTGCTCTTATCTCATGCCTAGCAAGTCCCTTGAGCATTACAGATTGAGCTTCCAGTCTCCCAAAATACCGGCTAGAAATCTTCAGCTCCTCTTTTATTTTTAAGGATGAGCACAATAGAAAGTACTATTTTTCTAACATCACATACCTTTAATTTTACAATTCCTTCTTACTCCAACAAGCTTTCCTGTTACCTTTATTTCTACAGACCAGTGTGCGTGATGGGACAAAGACCCTGGTTCTGCATCTTCCAACTTTTCACAAACAGCCAAAGCCCCAAACATTTTTGCAGTGCCCCAAGGCTCTACATCAGCATTCTGAGCAGTACTGGGGTACTCAACACAGACTCACAGGCATACATCTGTTCACATCCAAACACATCATTTTCTGGTGTGAGTAAATGTAAGTTTACAAGGTCTGAAGGTTTAGAATAGCCGTGGCCATTCCCTGTTCTTCCACTGCCATTTTTCCCCCGCTTTACTTTGCCCTGCCCCAGTGCACATGCACACACGACATAGGATTTTCTCCCCTATCTTAATGTAGAAGCAAAGAAATCAGTGGGATGGAGCCTCACCCTCATTCACATGCAATTCCATCACAACAAACCCCTCTGTCTTAGAAGTCAGTAAAATGGACTGGTGGCTTCTCTTCCTCAGTACATACCTCTTTAACTAATTTTAACTAATGACTTTCAAAAGAGCTGTTCTGGGTTTTGCCTCAAAAATCAGCATTTCAGTTCATCTGATCATCCTCTCCTATTGTGTTATCCATGCAAGTTAAAAGATATAATTATGAATGAATTTCCAAGATCAATAAGAACAAGTGAAGCAAAATTGTCTATGAATATGGCAATGGGCAACTCCAAAACAAAGTAAGAGAGCAGGCAAGGAAGGCACCTAACTCAGCAGACAATGGATCATACCACAGGTTATCAGTCTCAAGAGGAAAGCAGTTTCAAAGCATCACACTGAGCTGCGTACTCTGCCATTAATAGTTTTGTCAAATTATTTAAAGATCTAACTTGTGCCTGCATAGAACTTGATTTTAGAAAATGATCAGAATTTCAGGAATCCTTGCAAGAGAAGATGCTTGCAGCAAATTTGTAATGCCAGTTCTGCTAACTTGAACTAATTCCATGCAGATCACAAGTTCTCCTTTTCCTGCTGATGTGCAGAAAGTCTTTGCTTCAGGTTGTATGTCGCCTTCCACGTAAAGGGCTGTAAGGCCTTCCCACACACCATTAGCACGTGTGCAGGGGAGGTGTAAGATTTAAGACAAACCCTGGAATTGACAAGAAGGCGAAGCCAGACCTCTCCACTCTCACACAGAACCATTCCTCCTTCAGAGGAGCTCCTCAGAGCAGGAAAAAACAAAGCAGAGTTCAGATGCACTTAAAGAACAGCAGCCCTCGGATGTTCCCTCTCTCCATTGCTAGCCCAACAAAACACTAAGATCTCAGTCTCACATCAACTGTTAAATGAAGAGGCTCCCAGGCCAACAATCAGAGTGTGCTTACAAGAGATGCCTTCTGACTAATGGCTCCCCCAAGAAGGAAACAGCACACAAGGACTGCTGCCCAACACAGAGGCCTGACAGATATTTCAGGATCCACCGGCCCGTTCTGTGCTTTGGGTCTACAGCTCAGCTCTTCGAGTGCTTCACCTGCTTTCCCCTCTAATTATACTATGGATGGTATCGTTTGAAGTGAACTTACAGCTGTGGATTAATGCTGTACATAAGTACTTGGGCTCCAGTTATCAGTGAAACATTTTGAAGGATGGCACATCGGCAGCATTAACTGTTTAAAAGATCAGAAACAAACAGCTCTTTCCAGCACCGACAGGAACGGTTTGTACTTCTCAGCAGCGCTCCCCAGCAGTGCGGACCGCCCAGCTGCAGGCCCAGGAGCCGCCGGGGCAGCGCAGCAGGCACGGCCCGGTAAGGAGCTCATAGCTGCACCGAAAGGCGAACGGAGAGAGGAACCGCTCTACAAAGGCGGTGTGTTCAGACAGCAGAGAACTGCCTGCCTTCCAGGCCAAGCACCGCATGCCTTCCTGGAGCTCCGCTTTGCCCCCGAGAACTCCGCGGCTCACCTCCAGCGCTGGGGCCCGGACCGCGGGAACCTCCCGAGCGAGGCGGCCGCGTTGCCCGGCCCGGGGCCGCTACCGAGGGCGGCTCGGACGGAACGCGGCAGCCCCCGCCGGTGGCTCGGCCCCGCCCGGCCCCGCTCGAGCCCCCGGCTCGCCCCGAGGCTCCGCGGCTCCGCACGGACCGCCCGCGCGGCAGCTCCAGGCGAGGCTGTGGCTCCCGGCCGGGCCCGGCGGCGGCCGCCGCCCGCGCAAACGAGAGACGCCCCGCTGTCAAGGGGCGGCGGCGACGGCCGAAGGGCCGCCGAGGGGCAGAGCGCGGGTCCCGCCGCGTCCCCGCAGGGCAGAGCCGCGCCGCCGGTCACTCACCGCCGCGATCCCGGCCAGCCTGCGGAGCCCCGCATCACTTCCGGGGGCGAGCGGTCAGCTGGCGCCGTGACGTCATACAGCGCGCCCGGCGCCGTGCGCACGGTGGAGGCTGGGGCTCCGCCGACCGCGCCCGGTGCGGCGGGAGAGACGAGACGAGAGGAGAGGGGAGCCGAGCCGAGCCACGGCGCGAGGGCGGAGAGCGCAGCCTAGAGGAGCTTCTGCTAGAAAGTAAAGTGGGTACTGAGAGCGAGCGAGTGGACTCGGGGGTGAGGCGGAGGGAGGGAGAGGCGGGAGGGCGGGCGTTGGGGCTGGGGCTGGTTCCGCTCAGTGCGGGGCAAGGCCGCCCCGGCCGCCAGGGGGCAGAGCGGCACCCGTGCCTGCAGCGCCCCTATGCGGCCCGGCGGCTCGGCAGGACAGGGCAGGGCCCGGCCCCTTGTGGCGGCCGCAGCGCCGGCGGTGCTCGGGGCCCGGCTGGGAGGCTCGGGGCTTCTTGGTCCGGCTGGGCTGGGTTGGGCGGTCTCCCCGCTTCCTCCCGGTCTACGGCGCTCCGCCGTCCCCAGGTGTCGGCGCTGGAGGCTCGGGATGCTGGGCCCGGCCGCGCCCCGCCCATCGCTGCTCGCTCACCACAGCACGACGCGCCGCGTTCGTCCGGGAGCGGCCGAGGAGCCGCAGCAGCGCGAACTGCTGCCGGGAATCAGCTGCTGCACCGCGGTGCTGTGCTGTGCGGGAGGCGCTCGGAGCGGAGCCCCGGGCCGCCCGCTGTGCGCACGGAGCTGCTCGGCCCCGAGTGGGGCGATGGAAGAGCGCGTCCGTGATGGGCTTTGCGGCCCCGTCTTTGGGTGTTCATGAGCATCGTGCGGGGTGAGCAGGGGGAGCTGAGCTGTGCGTTCTCTGCTGCGTGTGTTGCACTGCATTAAAACCTCTTCTTCCCTTTGTGACTAACAGAGCTAAATGTGAGAAGGCATTTCTAAGTCTCTGAAATGATGAGTGGCAAGGCTGCACGATGCTAGGGGCGAGCTCACCGTGCCGTAGAGTTCACCTGAACTCTGCTGGCTTTGTAACAACTAATTAAGAGATATTTAAAGAAGCTTTTTTCCTGTTTCCTTTTCCCACCACCTCTCTGCAGTGTGGTCAGCGTTTGTATTCCTTCTGAGGCTGGCAGAGCGCACTCTGCCCATCCCATGCAAACCAGGTGATGTCTCAACAGCCTTAGAGAGAGGGAATGAAAGCTGTCATCAAAAGGGACGAGTTAAGGGTTTCCACTTTTGTTTATTCAAATAAAGAGAATGGCAAAGAATCCTCATTTTATGCAATTTTACTTGTTTGAAATTGCACTGGAAACCAGTGATAAAATCCAAGCCCTCACTCTTACTACTTAATTCCATTCTCGTTGTGTTCTGTTTCCTTTTTCTCACCAAAAGGCGACACCAACAGGCAGCTTCTTTGTAGGAGGGAGCTGAACGGACAGCCAGGTGCAGGCAGTGCTCCCAGTGCAGCTGATGGGCAGCACAGGCACAGGGACTTCAGCTGTGTGAGAGGTGGTACTTGGTGTTTCAAACCACTTCAGCCTGCCAGCAGCAAGGTACTGGTGTTACAAATTAGACAACCACTCTAAAGCCGCCTTGCTTTCTTTCTGGTGTCATTACTAAGTAACTCGATTCAATTGCTCTGTCATCAAATTTGCTGAGATTTATGGTTGTAGCAAACTGCTTGGAAATGCTTGGAATCAAATTGGTCTTTGGTGGAATTTTATTGAAACGTGCAGGTTTGTATCGCTGGTGGAAATGAGGATGTAGTGTGGAACAGTGTGATCTTCCAGCTTAGTTCATTTTTCACCATGTGACAACAGAATACTTTAGCTGTGATGGAAGTCTTGTTATTGTTTGGTTTTGTCTGAATCTATAAAAGAAAAAGGTGTAAATGTTCCATTGAGAATGGAAAGCAGTGGAAATCAAACACAGTTTTTTGCCAGGTGCAGACTGCAGGCACATAGCTGTCACAGATCACCATGTCTCTGATTTGAGTAAGAGAGAACAGAATTACTTTTATGGAAGGTGAATTCTGGAATTCAGTGTGCAGCTGTCACAGAGCCTGGGCCCTCCTCTCCCTCACCCACCACAGTGTGCCAGAGAAATGTGCCCGAGGGCGAGTGTAGATTGCTGACTTCTTGTTGCTGTGGGTGGGTGTGAAACGAGCCTTATTGCTGTGTTAGTGGCAGGAGATGAGCTGCTTAGCTGAGTGCTATCATTTGGCTATGCACAGGTTTTTTGTATCTCTTTAAATGAATGTTAGCCAAGGAGTGCATTTAAAAATACGAGATATAGATTCTTGTTCAGGCTGAAGGTGATCATGTTTTATACCATAACGTTCATGCGTTATGCTTTTGAATTGTCACTTCATTCCACGGTGAGCCCAGCAACTTGGCAGAGCAACCCTGCCAGTAGTGTAGGGTGTACTGCCACCGGGTAAAACGTTTCACACCTGAGAAGTTCAAACCTCCCTTGTCAGGAGATTCCATGCAGTGTTCTGTTCCCTGCCTTCTCCTTTGGGCAGATATGCTTTCAGCGTCATCATTAAGCGTCTGTGTTCCTAATGCATGCCTTAGTTAGATCTTAGTAAAAATCTGTTGTTTTGAAATATCCATTTTTCCCTATGAGCTTTCACCCTTTGTTGACTAAAGCCCTCCTTGTGCTTGCTGCTTGCAGATTTGATGCTTAAAGTGAGTAGCTAATGACTGACGTGGAAGGATGACATGAAACAGACGTATGGTGCGGCGGAGGAGCCGTGCAACTGGGAGAGGGCTGCCCACACTGTGAATTTGCTGATCGCCAACGAGTGTCCGTGCCACTTGGCCCCCATTCTAGCTCTGACACTGCACTCCTGGTGCCACCTCACAGTGCAGCTGACAGATTCCCTTCCTTCTTTTTGTGTGCACTTTTAATTTGAATGCTATGCAAACCTGAAAATAGCAAAAGAAGACGGGTGTTTAACTGGTTATTCAGGCCATTGAACTTCTGCACTGACTTTTTTGACCATCCAAAAAAATCAAAGGCATGTGTGTTTGTTTCTTGAAAGAGAAACATGCTTTTACCTTTTGTAGTCTAGAGGACTACTTGTTTTAATGAACACAACAAAAAAAACTGCACTTTCATTGTGCAGTAGCTCCTGAAAGCTCAAGGCGCCTTTGCAGGTTTGGGAACAATGGGACACTTGGAGCGCTTGACCTGCCTGCTGTAACGGGTTTGCAGGTAGATGAAAAGAAGGACACAGCCCCACAGCGGTCTGGGCTGCGCCTCATCATCCAGCAGTCTCTTCCTGGAGGGCTTGCTGACTCACCTGCCCTGAAGCAGCCTGCACCCCACCACTTGTGACATTGCAGACCTACCTTCGACCTCTCCTTGTTTGCTCTGTTGGAGTAAACACCTGAGATTTGCTCAGCAAATGGCATAGCTCTGTACTCTGTGACAAAAGCACTTGTGGGTAACATCTGTGGACTGCATTCCACAGAGACACGAGTGGTGACCATCGTGAGATGCACGTTAGTGGGAAAGTGCTGCAACATCCACTTTGCTTTCCAGAGCTGCGAAATATAATCATGATGTAAATGCCAAGGATGTAAGCAGCATGATGAGTAATTAAGAGGACACAAAATCCTTCCTTATCCTCCTTTCTGTCCCACTCAGAGTCATTCTGCACACCCACAAAACTAATACAAGTAGTGTCAGCTGCAGAATTGCACTAATTCCTTACTTTCTTCCTTACACTTCTGTCAGTGTGGGTTCTGTTTGTATCAAAAAGAATGGATCTCTTCTTCACGTTTTAGGTTGAAAGTAATTTTTCTCTGTGGAATCACTCCCTGTTTGTATTCTGAGGTCTGACCCATGCTTTGAATTTTGTCCTGTCTGCTCTTGGCTCTGGAGGAGGAGGCACAGAGCTCCTCACACCTTCATGGATCTGTGCAGGAACTGTGCAAATCATTAACTAACGGCAGCTGCAGGAGGAGCTGGTTGCTGAGGGCGAGTGGAGGTCTGCTTTCCATGTTTATCACCCCGCATATGCAGGAAGGAGAGCAGTGCTGCAGCAGGGGCTGTGCAGCCCTGTGTCCCTTCCAGCACCAAGACATTGCAGAACAGAGAAGTAAATTCCAGGGGGAGGAGAGGAAGCAGACAGTGGCAGAAAAGAATGCTGCTCCTAAACTTCCAGACAAAATCTTAATGAACAGATTCTTTGTGTTGTTTAAGATCCAGAAGTGTTAATTGTGATTACAGCTCTGAGGTACAGGTCCTGAGCTGTGGCTGCAGGAACTTGATGCAATTGGAATATCTATTCAAAACTTAGTTTCCCCTGAAATTATTCCTCTTATTATTATTTATGGATTATGTGAAAACCTAGAAGGAAGCTCTCAAGAGCACACTCCCATTTATTAGCACTGGGGAGCTGCAAGTGTGAGCAGCTCCCAGAGAACGCCTGGGAACAGAAGCAGAGGGTGAGGCCGTGGTGTGGGACTCAGGCTGTGGGGCAGCCCTGTAACCAAGCTGCTGCTACTTGGAAAAGAACACAGCAGGAAGCAATGATTTCTAAGATACAAGTGCATGAGTGGTTTTGTGTATGATTGATTTTATTTCTTTCCCAGAATTGGAGCTGTAGAGTGAATAAAGTGAAGCTTTTGTTCCGAAGTGATTGATGAGTGGGGCTGCCTGTCTGTTCTATCACAGGTAGTTGCTCCCTGGAAATACCCTATGTATTTACTAGAAATAATTTCTGCTGGCTAAGAGAAATCAATTTGTACGTGGAGGAAAATATCCGATTAGGTAAATATTTTAAAATATGGAAATACAAATGTTCTCTCAATAATCAGAGAAAGAATTTCATGTCTGTATTTAAGATCCTCTACAGAGGTTATGAAACAAGGAGCTTTCAGGTGATGGCAATGCTTACAGCAGAACAGGCTGGGAGTGAAGTGTTGGGAAGTTTTAGCCAAAAGCACGGAGCACCAAATTGTGTCTTTAGGTCAGCACTGTGCCTCTACGTTTGGTAAGGGCGGGTGCCCTGGTGGGATCGTCTCTCAGAGCTGCATGGCCTCATCCTGACCACTCTTTGCTTTCCCCAGTAACAGGAATTACTACAGACTACAGGGAGGTGAAACATCCAAGTTGCCAAACCTTTTGCAGTAACGTGGGGGCGTGTTTTAGGAATCAGATTCTGCAGTACACCAAGGTGATGGAAGGCCTTCTTTTCCCAGAGGACAGCGGTGACCCTGCTTCTAACTGCTGTGGTCTGATGTCAGGGTACATTCAGCAACTGGAGCTTCAAGTTGGCAAGTAGGTCCCAAGACAGCCCAGTCAGGTACTGTGCTCAGCATTCACTCCTCATCGCACTCACGCACTTACTTTGCAGTGCTGCTGCATTGTCCTTCAGGGACAGTAAAATACCTTTGACAATCCCTGAAGTCATTGTTTTGGTGAATATAATCCAGGTGGAAAGGGATCTATCTTAGCGGCACCGCTTACATGACAAAGTACTCATTTACACAGAATGAGAATGGGATTTAATTCTTCATTTCTGACACAGATTCTTGGCACACCTGGAGTGTGGAGAGCAGGTAGCCAGCTCTCCAAAAATTGGGGCGCTCGGGACTGTCCTAAACTCACTGTTTGTCTGCCTCCTGTGATGCTCAGATAACATTGCTTTCATCACCTCTTCATCACATCAGACTCTGTCTGAATCATTGCTATACGCTGCTGTAGCGCAGCAAACGAGCTGCTTTGCATCTGGCACCATGTACAGTTAATGAATATACCAATGTTATGGTATAGCAGTGTACAATTAATGAATGAAATGGTATGGTGTAACAGAGAGCTTGGCTATGACGTTATTACATCAAAGCGGGCAACAGACATGATAGGTACACTCACCCATATCCTGGGCTCGCATGGGAAACTCCAGTGGAGTGGATCTCCAGCAGAGATCCTTCCCTGCTGGTGGTCAGCTCTTCAATGGGTCTGGGAGAGGTGCAGCCAGGCTCCACCCCTTCCTGCAGCACAGCTGAATCGCCTTCACCTGTGCTCCTTGGCTGACTCAGTGCTGGCCTCAGGTGATCAATCAGAGTTCAGGCGGTGATTCAGCAGCCCCATCCACACCGATACTGGCATTCAGCAGTGCTGTAGTGCTGTCATCGTGTGGTTGACTCACAGATCTGAAGGCACTGGCGCAGACAGGTCGGCGTTGTTACAACACAATGGGGACACCTCAGAGTTTCGGTGACTCGCCCAATGCCTGTTGCAAAATAGCAGTGAGGGAAAACGTGGCCATTCCTGAGCTGGTGATTGGTTCAGCAAAGCACTGCAGCGAGCCCTTAACTTCAGGCAGGAGCTCAGGCTGCCTGCTCTGGGGCAGATTTAAGTCTCAGTACCGATATTTTGCTGGACTGGGTCTTCAGGTTTCAACAGCTAATTGCTTTTTACAGCTGTTTCAGTTCTTTCTTTAGGTGGTGGAAATACTCCTAAGCCAATTGAACTGTGTAGAAAAACAGAACGCGTGGTGATCTTTGACATACATCGGGGCTTTTGTGGTGTTGGTTTGTTTCAGATGGCAGCAGTCACACGACAAGAAGTGCTGGGCCTTTACCGCAAGGTATTCCGGATCGCCAAGAAATGGCAGTCAGCGTCGGGACAGGTGGAAGAAACGGCTGCAGAGAGGGAGTACATTATAAAAGAAGCCAAAACATTGTTCCGAAAAAACAAAGATGTAAGTGAGTGTCATTGCAGGTTTCAATTTCTGACTCCTTTTGTTGTGCTATGCACGCTCTTGGTGGCTGGATGCCAAGGTGTGAATATAAGAAATGGTTTCCCAAATTTCCTTCACCATAAATGCTGGTACAAACACATTCTAAGGTGCATTTGAGTTACAGCTTATTATTTCAGGGGTGACATTTAGTAAGAGAACTCAAACCCTCTGAGATCTCCATTAACTCTTGAGGAAGGCCAGCCACATCACCTCGATGAGCACTGCTCGTGCTGCTCGCTGTGCTGCTCGATGTGTTGATCCAACCACTGCCAGGAAGGACTCAGCCAACCTCCTGCCATCTCCAAAGGAAACAGAGTCCCAAACAATGAAAAAATGTGGTTGAAGGATGAGTGTTCAACAAAAAATGGACAGAGGAGTATTTATTGCCAAGACAGCTAATACGGCACTGCTTAATTAGCAAGGAAATTGTGTCTGATTTGATGGAGTACTGTTTGAAAAGTCATTATGTGCAAACACATGCTGCAAATTCAGTGCATACCAAGGAATGTTTTGTGAAAAGAAATAGCGGAACTGTAAAAAATATCTTCTCAACATTTTTTTTTCTAAAGTTACACCTTAGATGGACTCTAATATCGAAGCTTGTTATGCAGTAGCAAATCTGATAGCAAAAACATCACACCCACTGACTGATTGATGGTGAGTTTATTGAGCAATGGATGGAAAGCATGGCAGATACAATTTGTCCTGATTAAAACCCACAGTTTTCTAACATTGGTTTGTCTCACCAGCCTGTAGCCAAGTGAAGTGAAGAAACAGGAACATCTATCAAAAGAAATTTGGAGGGCAGAGCTGCTAATTTCAAATTTTAACTTTTGGTGATAGATGAAGGTGCTGATGCTACAGCTATGGTTCAACTTGTTGTCATTTGAGGTATTATAACTAATGTCACTGAAGAAATGGCTGCTTTGGTGCCACTAAAAGACACAACTCAATCTCTTGATCTGTATGAAGCTGTACAAACTACATTGAAGTGATTTTCTTTAACCTTTGTCAATGTATCTGGTACAGCTAGTGATGAAACCTGGCAATGTTTGGTTAAAAAAACAAAAAAAGGACTTAGACAATTGATAGCAGGACTGTTCTGAAAGCTGTGCCTTCTATTGGAGGCAGCACTGATTGTTGGTGGGATGGCAGCAGAGGTTGAACCTTCCCACCAGTATTCCATTACTTTTTATTTGCTGTGTGACGGATCTGACAGAATGGGGCAGTCTGACAAAATGGTGTCTGACATGGAAGTGTGGATGAAGGGGAGTGGTGGCACTGAACTCCACCTGGAAAAATGGCACCCACTGACATTCATCAATGCTTGTGAACAATGATAGAGATTTTTCTTTACCAAGTAGTGTTACTTTGTTCTTTGTAGCTGTTGTCATTTCCTTGAAAATAATTAGGAGGCATTCTGTCACATGCCCTCTGTGTATAACCAAGATGTTATAATTGCAATATAATCAAAAGAGTAAGG